TGACCCTTCTTAGATCCCTAGAATCCTAGAGCTGAAAGGGACCTTAGAGGTCTCCTAATCCAGGGGTCTCCAACCCCCGGTCCGTGGACCACTACCGGGCCGTGGCATGCCAGCAACTGGTCCGGACAAACAAACAAAGCCCCATCCACAGGATGCAGGCAGCACACAAAACCACGCACTCTCAGGTCCACAGAACCGGTCCCTGGTGCCCAAAAGGTTGAGGACCTCTATTCTAATCCATTCCTGTGCCCAAGGCAGAAGATTTTATAGCATCCTTGAAAACTGGTTGTCTAGTCTATTCTTGAAAACCTCCAGCAATGGAGCACCCATAACTCCAGGAGGCAAGTTGTTCCACTGATTAATTGTTCTCACGGTCAGGAAATTTCTCCATAGTTCTAGGTGAGATCTCTCTTTAGTGAGCTTCCATCCATCGCTTCTTGTCCTGCAGTCTGGTACTATGAAAAATTTCTCCATGACAACGTTCAAGTCATCAAGATCCTTCTGAATCCTGAGTCTCTCTTCCAAAGTGTTAGCAATTCTTCCCAGCTTAGGGTCATCTGTAAATTTGATGAGCTCCCCTTCTATCCCCTCATCTAGATAATACAGTGTTTCCCAAACTTGACAATTTTAAGGCATGAGGACTTCAACTCCCAGAATTCCACAGCCAGCAACGCTGGCTGTGGAATTCTGGGAGTTGAAGTCCACATGCCTTAAAATTGTCAAGTTTGGGAAACACTGAGATAATATATGAAGAAATTGGAGAGCATGGGCCGAAAACAGAACCTTTGAATCTCAATATTTTTTATTGGTTTATAATATATAATACAAAAGTACTGAAGAAAATAGTAGGAAAATAGGGGACAAAAAAGGGAAGGGAAAAGTGTGGGACAAGGGGAAAAAAAAGAAAGACTCCCTTTGGTGCAGTAGAATAAGATAGTAACGTCAAACCTCAACTTTTTACTTTTACATAATAATATAAGCTAGCCATTTCTACAGCAACAAATCTATTAATTGGTAAAAGCCAAAATCAAAGTTCTGCCCAAGACAGAACCTTGAGGTACCCACTGCTTACTTCCCTCCATATTCTGCTACAATTCCTCATGTCGATAGCTATTTACCTCTCATAAGTGTTGGATTCTGTGGTTTGCTATTGCCTACCTGGTGCATTTACTGAAGGCAGCTAGCTGTCCATCTGATCATAAAATTGGTATAATTGGTATATCCAGGCTGCTGTGTACTAGGATAAGTGATGCCCATAAAGTCATAAACTCTCAGGACCTCAGATAATGTTCATCAGGCAAATAAATGTGGGAAAGGGGTAGAACATTTCTAGAAGGATATGCTGCTCTGGCAATATAGATACGAAACATTTCTGTTTGGCAATTTCCTGGATTTGGACTAATTGCTGTGGTGTTTGATTCATCGTTTGGTTCAAATGTTCTGCCTGGGCCACCATATAATAATGATGTTGGGCCATAGGTCTTAATAACCTTAATAACCTTTTCTGTGGATGGTGATGCTGCAAAGGATCATCATTGTCTGGGTATAGAAACTGGAACTATTTTTTTCCTTCTGTAAAAAAGGGAGTAATGAGTTAATGAAATTGCTGTCAATTTCAGTAGATACTGGAACTGGAAGCAACAGAGGAAACAATTCAAGGACACAAAATTCTGATAAATAGGTTTATTTCAAGAACTAAAGAAGCTGTCAAGAAATTACTGTAAAATAATTCCAGTGACTGCTTATGTAACAATTCAAGCCCTAACTATAGTGAAATCAAGGATATTATTCTTCTGGTTTTTTTCTTTATACTGCCATAGGCGTATAGTACAGATCACTCAACCAAGTAAATTAAATAGATGAACTTTTTGCTAATCAGTTAACTAAGATATGCAGGAAGCCCACTACAATCATAATGGGGGACTTTAACTATACTGGCATGTACTGGGAGATGAACTCTGTGCCAAGTGAAGATCAAGTAGATTCCAAAAGGTAGAGGAAGGAACCAAAGGACAGGGATGAAGTCATAGAAGGGTTTGAGGTTGTGGGAACTTTGAGGGAGAGTGACCATGTCATCTTGGAACTCAACATAATGTAGGCACAAATAATTGATCGAAGTCAAATGAGTGTCTCAGATTTTAAGAGAGCTGACTTGAACATCTTAGAGAGAACTAAGTAATGTGGAGTAATGTGAATACAGTCAAATTGTACCATAGCAGTCTACACCAGGGGTCTGAAACCTTGACAACTTTAAGACTTGCGGACTTCACCTCCAGGACCCAGCATCTCCCAGCTTACCTTTCTGTTTTTGCAGCTTTTGGGAGGGGCACCCAGCCTAGCCAAGCTCAGCTTTCCTGCAGAGACAACCTGCAAGCAGGTGCTGCTCTCATGATCCTGTAGGGGGCTTGGTTTTAAGGAGGCTCCTTAAAAATGGTGCCCCCTATGGAATCACGAGAATAGCACCTGCTTGCAGAAATGTTTGTAGGCCCAAGGCCTGCAGGGACACAAGGGATGGGAAAGGTAACATGGGATGCCTCGGGGGTGGAGGAGGCCAGGGCAGGCAAGCCTTGACCTGTGTTGGACTTCCCAGAGTCTCCCCTACCCCTGAGGGACCCTGTGTTCTGTTTAATGACCCTCATGGTTGTTTAATGACAGCATTGGAGAGAGATGTGGGGGTCAGTAAGCAAGGTAATAACATGAGCACTTTGCTTAACAATCATCATGACTTGCAACTGTAATGGGCAAGGTCTATTACTATCATAATTCAAGGTCTATCTGTGGTCTAATTTGAGGTCTACCTGAAAACAGCTGTTTTTTAGATGTCACCTAGTTCATCCTCTTTCTTTCAAAATATGGGCTTTTTTTGTCAGTACAGGAAGAGGGGAAAAAAGAATATAAGGTATTTACATAGCCAAAACAAAGATATTATAGAAGATAAAACAATGTGCTGAACTATCCATTTTTTGCAGATTTGTCATTAAGAAAGATATTGCTAAAAAATGTTTACATCCAAATGTGATGTGTTTCCCTTGAGTCCCTGCGCTAGTCCATCAGTATGCTAATATAATTTGCTTTCTCTTGAAAGCTGATCTCTATCTGGGTCAGGAGAACAGCAAGTGGTACGTACTGGACAACTGCAATGTGGGACAATATAAGGAAGTAAATGATGGATTTCTTGACAGCTGAAAAAATAGCCACCAGTTGCTGGCTTTAACATGGACTAGGGATGGGGAAACAGGAAGGCTTTGATTGATGGCCAAAGCAAGAGGTTAACCATTTGTTAGGACATATACTGCTTGTTCTGTGAACTTGGTAGAACTTGTGTCGCTGACCCACATAGAAAAAAATTGCCCCAGCTACACATATTACCGAGTAACCTGCCTGCCAGCACATTTATTTCCACATAGAATAGATCAACTAGGTAGGTCATTTTATAGAAGTCCTGGTCTACCGTTGTTTCCAGCCTGGGATCAGGCCAATCTAAGAGTCAGGATCCAAATGGCCACAGAGGAAACTCATTGATGACCAGAGAGCATCAGGATTGCCTGCTGAAAGCAGAAACATAGAGGTGAGGAAGACCCCAGTAGCTGGCCGTGTCTATAGACTGGCATCACACAGAATTGTCTTGCAAGAATGGCCGCAACAGCCCAGTTGGTCCAATGGCGAAGGGACTGGACTAGTAGCCAAGAGACCCAGGTTTAGTCCCCCTCCCGCCCCCACCTCAGCCATGGAAGCTCCCTGGGGGGGCTTTGAGGCAGCTCTCTCTCAACCCAACTTAACTCATGGCCGGAGTGGGGTGGGATGGCATTCGTTGTGTGCCATCTTGAGCTTCTCAACAAAAGACAGGATAGAACAAATGCATCTTTCTGCTGAAATTAGAGAAAAATGTAGATTTGCTGAATGGAAAGTCACGTCTTTCTCTTTTCAAACGTCGGTGGCCTGGCTCTCTCTAGGAAGCGACTTGCAAACAATGATACAGTTCTTTCACAAAAGATAATGACATTAAACAAGTCAGCATTTTTGTTTTTGCTTTGTGTTGTATGTCAAGTCTCGTGGCTGTGAAACTCTTTTATATAATTTTGTGTTGAGTTTTAACTTTTTACAAGTCCAGCCTTGCTTCTCATTTCTGTTCTGTAGCCGCTTGGAGGCCTGGCCACTAAGCGAGCAACTTCACATAATCATGTGGAGACTTATGCAGTGCTGACTGTCTTTCTCCCAATAACTTCCTCTTAAAGTAAACTCCAGGGTCCCCACAAAAAGCTCAGCCTGACATACCTGGGCTTGGAAAGGATGGCTTCCTACACAGGATTCATGAGTTTCAAGGTTTCTTCTTTTAGAAATTGAGAATTGTAGTTGAAGGTAGATTATTTTCCACCAATCTATCTTATCTTCTTAACAGTTCAGCAAGATTGTGCAAGGCAATGAACAATTAAGGTTGTCCCTGACTACAGGTAATCCTCGACTTATGACCACAATCCAGCCCAAAATCTATGTTTGCTAAGCAAGATAGTTGTTAACTGAATTTTGCCCCATTTTATGACTTTTCTTGCCACAGTTGTGAAGTGAATCACTGCAGCTATTAAATTAGTAACATGCTTGTTAAGCGAATCTGACTTCCTCGTTGACTTTGCTTGTCAGAAGTTTGCAAAAGCGGATCTTATGCTGCTGGGACACCCTAACCGTCATAAATACGAGTCAGTTTTTGGTCGCGTGACTATGCAGATGCTGCAATGGTCATAAGAGTGAAAAATGGTCTTAAGTCACTTTTTTCAGTGCTGTTGTAACTCTGAACAGTCACTAATAGATCTACTGCAGGGGTCGGCAACCTTGGCTCTTTTATGACTTGTGGATTTCAGCTCCCAGAATTCCTGAGCTAGCCTACCGCTGATCTAGTGTAATTCGAGGACTATCTGTATATCCCAACAGATGCCGTTCAGATTCCTTGGGGGGCCGTTTTGCTAACGTATCACTGCCTCTGGACTCTTGTTCCTTCCCTGTAGGCTGTCTACAAGGCTTGGCTGTGCTCTGAGTATTTCGATGTGACACAACTACAGTGCCAGCACCGGATTCCATGCAAGCAATACTGCCTGGAGGTGGAGACTAGGTGCCCCTTTGTGTTGCCTGACAACGATGAATTGGTCTACGGAGGGTTGCCTGGCTTCCTCTGTACGGGTAAGGCTTGCAGGGGGACTTGGAAATGTCCCAGGAACAAGCACACAGGAATCTCCCTTTGCCTTGCTGGATTAGGACAAACGTCCCGCTTTCACACGCCTGTGGATAGCCTTGAGCATACAGACAGCCCAGCTGGCATTGCCTACCTGGCATTTATCTGCTTATTTATAAAGCTAGTAGCGCTTCTGCAAAGAAATGGGAGACGGGTAGCAGCTGTGCACTCTGGGACATGCTTCAGGTGTATTTGACAGGGAACACGGCCAATTGCCAGAAGCAGGGAGCTGATTTTATCCAGGTACGGGTAGTCCTTGCTTAACAATCCATGTGGGGACTGAAATTTCCGTTACTGGTGGTCCTCAACTTACAACAGTTCATTTAGTGACCGTTTGAAGTTACAACGGCATTGAAAAAAGTGACTTATGTCCATTCTCCACACTGACGACTGTTGCAGCATCCCCAGGGTTCCATGATTTGCATTCGGATGCCTGGCAACTGTTTCATATTTACGACGGTTGCAGTGTCCCGGGGTCATGTGATCTCCTTTTGCAACCTTCTGACAAGCAAAAGTCAATGGGGAGGCCAGGTTCACTTAACAATCATTTTACTAATTGAGCAAACTGCACTGATTCACTTAACAAACATGGCAAGAAAAGTTGTAAAATGAGGCGAGGCTCACTTAGCCAATTTCTCACTTAGCAACATCAATTCTGGGCTCAATTGTGGCTATAAGTTGAGGACTTGCCTGTACTAAGGAAAGCAATTGTTAGAGGAAACATCCCATGACCGCACTACTTAGTGATGGTGGTTCTAGCAGTCGCAGGAATGTTCTGTCAATAGGCCATGATCCCAGGCTTCTCCTGGCTTGCCCTGCCCTGCCCTGCCCTGCTCACCTCTGCTTCATCTCCCCCCACTTACTCACCTGCTGCCATGTCTGCCCTTTGGACCACCTGGCCCTTCAGCCAGGTGCCCCTCGTCCACAGTGGGAAGAAAACAGAAGGTCAGCTGGGGGTGGTGGCAGGTAGGGGTGGGATGGCTGAAGGAAGCCGAAGCATATGCTGGAGTGGTAAATGGGGGTGGGCTGCCTGAATTCTGATTAATTCTGAATTCTGCAACAGCCCTAGCTTTGAAGACTGGCTTTAACTTCCGTTTCCTTAGCCCCATCATAACTTCCCAAGGTTGTTCAACGGGAGGCGGTTAAGCAGAGACTTACCTGCAGTCTTCTGCCATGTTTGGGAGGGGTGCTGGGGGGTTGTTCAACTGCTTCATAAAGAAATTGCAAATTTTCAGGAAGGAAAGGGCTAGCTGCAACATACTAATGCCAGTAACAGGATGGTACTTGGATTAAAAATCAGTGTTGCATGAGGGTGCTTAGCACTGGGAAAGGTCGCTAAAAAGGGTGGAATAGATGTCTATGTCAGGGGTAGGCAACCTTTGCTCTTTTATGACTTGGGGACTTCAACTCCCAGAATTCCTGAGCCAGCATGGCTCAGCTTGGAAACCTCTCCTTTTCCCCTCAGCATGGCTGGCTCAGGAATTCTGGGAGTTGAAATCCACCAGTCATAAAAGAGCCAAGGCTCCCCACCCCTGCCCTATATCAGGGGTCCTCAACCATGGCAACTTTAAGACTTGTGGACTTCAGTTCCCAGAATTCCTGAGCCAATCACGCTGAGGGGAAAGGGAGAGGTTTCCAAGCTGAGCCATGCTGGCTCAGGAATTCTGGGAGTTGAAGTCCATGAGTCATGAAGGGGCCTAGGCCTAGGCCAGAGGTAGGCAACCTTGGCTCTTTCATGACTCGTGGACTTCAACTCCCAGAATTCCTGAGCCAGCCATGCTGAGGGGAAAGGGAGAGATTTCCAAGCTGAGCCATGCTGGCTCAGGAATTCTGGGAGTTGAAGTCCACGAGTCATAAAAGAGCCAGGGTTGCCTACCTCTGGCCTAGGCCTAGGCCCCTTCATGACTCATGGACTTCAACTCCCAGAATTCTTGAGCCAGCACGGCTCAGTTTGGAAACCTCTCCTTTTCCCCTCACCATGGCTGGCTCAGGAATTCTGGGAATTGAAGTCCACGGGTCATAAAAGAGCCAAGGTTGCCTACCCCTGATATGTAAAGGGGAGAGAGAGCTTTACATAGAAATGGAGACTTGAAAAACAGAAGGGATGAACAGATTAAGAATTAAACGGTTTTGTTTAAGAGGAAGAACTTTATTTTATAATGTGCAAAGGACAATCTTCAGGATTAAATGCAGAGGAAGAAGGGTAGCCAGAGAATATTAGGTAAACGAGAATAGACTGCCACGGAATTTTTATGGAGCAGAAAATTTGAATTAAGGAACCAAAAGGAAAGGAAATTGCTAAGAGAGCGATCAAAACTATAGGTCATCCTTGACTTACGACCACAATTGAGCCCAAAATTTATGTTGTTTAGTGAGTTTATTTATTAAGTGAGTTTTGCCCCATTTTATTTTATTTCACCTATGGTGTAAGATGAATCACTTCAGTTGTGAAGTTAGTAACACGGTTGTTACGTGAATCCGGCTTCCCCATTGACTTTACTTGTCAGAAGGTCACAAAAGGGGATCACGTGATTCCTCGGCACACTGCAACGGTCATAAGTATGAACCAGTTGCCAAGTGTTTGAATTTTGATCACATGACTATGGCGACACTGCAATGGTCATAAGTGAGGAAAACGGTCAAAAGTCACTTTTTTTCAGTGCCATTGTAACTTCGAACAGTCACTAAATGACCTGTTGTAAGTCGAGGACGACCCATATATCATGAAGGGGGTCAAAGAAGAGCGGGCAATTTTTCATTCCTCTGTATTGAAGGCAGCAGGAAAAACGTTGGATGAGAGCAAAGAAGAGATGAAACAGAAATGTTACTGAAGAAAAATGACGATATAAATTTCAGTGTAGAAATAGGATTGTGTTCAAAAGAGGAGAATATTCTTAATTGTAATATTAAGAGTCTTGCATAGGCTACTGTCATTACTGTGGAATAGGGAACCTGGACGTTCCAGACTGTGGCATGTACATTTCCTTCCTTCCTTCCTTCCTTCCTTCCTTCCTTCCTTCCTTCCTTCCTTCCTTCCTTCCTTCCTTCCTTCCTTCCTTCCTTCCTTCCATTATTTATTATTTAATTATTGATTAAATTATTATTTATTTTAAATTATTTATGAAAGACATCAGCATAGACCCCAAGTTGAGGTCAGGTCATGTGACGGTGTTAAGAGTACATGTTGGCTGGATTTATTTATTTATTTATTGGCAACCTCATGAACCAAGTGCATTTCTGTTATAGTAATGAACACAGAGGACGTGGCTGTCTGAGGTATTTTGCAATTGGTTGCATAGCTGTCATTTCCAAAGCCTTGTGTAAGTTAGATGTTTCACTTATAGAATATCACAATTTCTGTCAAGAACTGGGCTGCAAACCATCTCCTAAAGCAACAGAGAGGCATGTAACAGTTAAGTACAGGTAGTCCTCAAGGTATGACAGTTCATTTAACGGCTGTCTGAAGTTACAACAGACACCCCCCCAAAAACCTGCAGACAACCCCGTTTCAATGTCACACTGCCTACAGCAGAGGTCCCCAACCTTTTTTGGTTGGTGGACCGGAGAGAAAGGGAAGGGAAAGCATTTTACATGCATGCGCACGCAAATGGGACAGTGAGCATGTGCGTGACGCAAACGAGGTGGTGCTACTGCCCACATGGCACTCACTAGCCCTGCCCCATTTTTGCCACACGGGTGCTAGCACCGCCCTGTTTTCGCTGCGCGGTGCCCCATTTTCACCATTTTTTGTTGTGTGGCCATGCGGTGACCCATTTTCACTGCACGGAGCCCTGTTTAGGCTTCATGTGGCCCGTTTTTGCCATATGGCGCCCCATTTTTGCCACACGGTGCTCTGTTTGGGCTGTCCGGTGCTCTGTCTAGGCCATGCAGCACCCTGTTTAGGCCACGCGGTGACTCCTTTGGTCCTCCTGGCCTCTAGCACAACTGGGGACGAGTGCGCACACACATGTCCCACAGCCCAGTCCCACAGCCCAGTGGCCAGCAGGCCACGGCTCAGTAGTGGGCCAGGGCCCACAGGTTGGGGACCGCTGGCCTACAGAACCGCCACAGTCATTTGCCCTTGTAACCAACTTCAGAGACAGATGCTGCAACGCCCCAACCACCTATTCCCCCCCCCATCCTGCCCCACTGGGTCCCCAGAGGCACTCGGTCTGCTTTGCTGCCCCACTGGGTTCTACATAGTCCTCCCCCCCACCGGTCACTGTTTGGACACTTATTTTACAAAGATATCCAGAGCTCAGGAAGTCAGGGTAGGGAAAGAGGACAGGACGCGCCATTGCTGGACCAGGTGGCTCAGTCCAGGAGAACAAATCCAGCCGGCTCTCCTTTCATTGCTAGTCTTAGCTTTACGCTAGTGCTGCTCACCCTGGGGGAGGTAGGAAAAGGTTCTGCAGGTTCTCCTTTCTCACTAGCCTTGGCCTCCCCAGCATGAGCTGTGCTGGCTTTTCACTAGCACTGCTCACCTGGGGGAGATCAGGCTACTGCTAGTCAGCAGAAGAAAGCATTCATTTAACAATCATCCAGACAGCAGGCTCCATTGCTGTCATAACTCAAGGACTATCTGCCACATTCCATCCTCACAGTTCTCTAATGCACACTTTGGCTGCTGCAGACTTTGGGGCTGAAGAAGGCAGAAGATAAAAGGATGAGGGGTACCTGCCTCCTCCAGAATTCCATAGACCATTCTTGTGCTGTTGTGTTTGCAGGGTTGTTGGAGAACCAGTTGCCTGACCAGGAAGCAAAGTGCTGTGATGTGCAGTGGGACTCCTGTGATCCCCAGCCGGACCGCAGCTACAACACCACCACCAAATCCACAGAGTCAGAGTCATCCCACAGCCCACGCCAGGAGGCCCCCCACCACCATCACCACCAGCAGCAGCAACAACAGCAGCAGCAGCAACAGCAGCAGCAGCAGCAACACTATCATCTGTATTACCATCACCACCAGTACCCACACCCGTCTCTGCTGCCGGTCTCCGCAGGGTCTCGCCTCAGCCACAGCAAAATCCGGCTCTGCGTCCTGGTCCTTATGCTCCTGCACACCATGGTGTCCTTCTCCAGTGTGCACAGCAGTGAAGTGTTGAACCTGGAGGTCCTTCCTGCCGTGGAGGAGAGCATCGCGAGAGACGAGTGACCGAGCGCGAGACAGCAGCTCCTCAGGCAAAAAGAATGAGTGAAAAAGAAAAGGCGCTTGCGGGGGGGAGGGGGCATTTCTTATACCTCTTTGGGGGGCACCGGTTGGGTGACGTGCACAGTCCCACCCCCATGTGGAAACCCCCAGCAAGAGCAACTCCTTGCAGGCCCGCCCTGGGACGCCTAGAAGGCTGTGTGGGAACACAGCCTCCGGGCGGGCTCTATGAGCCTCTGGCCCGAAGCTGCAGGAGCCAGGCAGGGAGGGAGCAGAAGGGAAAGTGGAGCAGGTGGCCCCCTGGGAAGGCCAGTGCAAGGGCCCCGGGAGTGATCCCTGCTGCTCCTGCCAACACACATCCTGGGTAAGGTTCCTGGCTGGGATGTTTCCACTCCAAAGTGAGTAACTGGCCTGTGGCTATGGCAGAAGTACCTTAGCCAAGATCCCTTCCAAGTCCTATGCGTGGCCCAAGCTAGGCAACCCAGGGGTGAAGACAGGGTTCTTTCCTTCCCTGTTTCTTAGACCTCTCTGACCCCTTTCCCCCCCCCCCCTTTCTGTGGCCAAGAGCTGCCAGAAGTGCTGAAAGGACCATCCCGGGCTTTCCATTGAGCCAGGGTCCAGGATAAGTCAGCAGCAGCTTGTGCAGTCTGGAGTCCCATGTTCCCAGAAGGGCTGAATTCCTTCACTGTCTGCCTATCATCTCTATAAGATGTCCTCAAACACATGAAATACTGTATTTGCCTGAAAGAAAGACCAGGCTTTTCTCCAAACTTTCAAAATTGGAGGGTCGTCTTAGATTTGTTGAGACTATGCCAATAGAAGCAGTTTCTGTTCTGTTCTTTTTTACTGAGTTAGTTAATTAGTTAGTTTTGTAGGAGAAGGGGGGGGGTATCTGCCATGCTGGCTCAGGAATTATGGGAGTTGAAGTCCAGAGTCATAAAAGGGGCCGTGGTTCCCCACCTCCGCTCTGAGAGGTAGACATGCCGTCTTTCGCACAATGGTGGGAAGTTAGAAACGCCTGCTTCCTCCTTTCTACCACCCGCACAAGGAGATTATAGTTGGCTTGAGATTAATTCCAAGTGGAGCCAGAATGTCCAAGCAAACACCTCTGAATATGCCCACAGTTTATTTCCTGTGAGAAACACTAGCCCAGGCGCTTTTATTTTTATTTTATTTTTTTCATTTTTTGCCAATTGGTAGGCTTGGCTTGGCTCTTCATATAATCTCATTAACTGACTCAAGTCCCGTCCTCGCAACCAGTTCCTGATTCTTTACCGAAACGGAAGGCCTGAGCTTCTTCCCAACTCAATCTTCTACCAAAGCACTACCAGGTTTGGGTCCCCGTTCATTTCTCAGTTTGAATTTGCCCCTGCTGTCTCCCCAAATGTGCCCATGGGAAAAATTGTTCTATGCAGACACAACGCAGGCGGACAATGAAACGTTTCTGATACCCAAAAATTCTCTATCTGAAAGTTAAATTTTTATTCAAAGAAAAAGGGAGACTCTTGAGAGACTCTTGATATGAAAGTATCTCTCTGTCTCTCTCCAGCTTTTTTTAATCTTATATTAAAGAACCATTTTTTCCCTCAGATCTCTCACTAAGGCCCTCACTCTCAGAAATGTGAATAGCATCCATCAGCAGTTGGCATGTTTCCTATCATCAGGGAAAAAGAAGAATTCATGACAGCAACGAGGGGTATAAACAAGAGTAAGAAAAATGAGCAGCTCTTGATAGGTGATTTGTACTGACAGGAGAGAATATTTGTAGCTCAGGACTGAACTGTGGGGTCCTTGGTGCTCTCTGAGCTTGGTTGTTTTCTTGCAGACATTTCATTACCAAACTAAGTAACGTCATCAGTGCACTGATATCAGTGCATGAAAAGTCTGCAAGAAAGCAACCAGACTCGGAGAGCATCAAGGATCTCACAGGGGCTTTGTGTTGGTCTAAAATAGACTCATTTAGAGCATATTTAGATTGTAAAACGTTAACCCTGGTTCTTGGCTTCTCTGTAATGTCTGACAAATCTTGAAGTGGAATTATTTTAATAATTCCAGAAATCACATTCATTATGGATTTTTGTGCTCTCTGGTTATACGTTGGGCCACATTCCTTCCTCCTTAAAGAAAAGCTACTTTCTGTATGGCTGGAATTGAATAGTCATAGTAGATCACAGGAATCTATTGTATCTATTCATTCATTATCAAAGAGGGAACCAACCTGTTGGATAATTCCGAGGTCTGAGCTTTAGAACCTTTTGGGAGATACTCATCCATCCCAAATTTAGGATCAAAGTCCCAAATGCCCAAAGACAGCAGTCTTCTTAATCCCAGGCCCCACTGAATACTATGCAACATGAAAACAGAAGTGCATTTTGATCCAATCCACACAGTACATCTGCCTCAAGTATAAGCAGCCCCCTTTCTCTCTCTCTCAGATTAAATTTGCTTCTTTTGAGGAGGATGAGGAGGAGGAAGAGGAGGAGGGTGATGATGATAAGAAAGGGGTGAGGTTGATCACTCCAAACCAGTGTATGCTTTCCAGAGGATCTCCAGGTAAGGACTATTCCCAGCCCTTTAACTAGGTGCCAGGGATTGAAGTGCCTGGACCTTATACTTGCAAATGCGTCCCCCCCACCACCTGTTTTGGTCCTTCTTGATGACATAATTTCTGTAAGAAATTGCTATCATTTACAGTATGTAGTTCAGTTCATGATTAGACACAATCTATTTTTGAAACCATATTTTGCATCGTGCCTGAAAAGGTGGCAGAGCGCAGTGAGATCAAAAGAAGGCATAGTTTTCAATCCTAGTTAAAACATACGGAAAACAAGTAAAGTTCAGTTTCTGAAGCAACACCCAGCTTCGTCCTTTAGTGCAGAGGTCCCCAGCCTTTTGCGCACCAGGGACCGGTTCTGTGGAGAGAAGTTTTTCCACGGACCGGAGGGTGCGTGGTTTTGTGTGCTGCTGCATCCCACGAACGGGGCTTTGTTGGTTTGTGCAGACCAGTTGCTGGCATGCCACGGCCCGCTACTGGTCCATGGACCGGGGGTTGGGGACCCCTGCTTTAGAATGACTTCCTTTGCCATCTGGAATTGCTATTCGTGATGGAGGTGGCCATCGCCTGAGTGAAAAAACTCAGGATCCAGCAGTATATTCATTATTGAATTATAATCTCTGTGTTACCTTTAATCAGCTGGGACTCATAAGAAATGATCTACCTCTGCCTCAGGAAGTGGTGGATGGACCTTTGATCCCTTTATAGGCGAGGGCAAATAGTGAAATGAATCCATAGAAAACGCAGTTAATACAGTGTTAGCTTTAGCAGCCTCTGATTGATTGAACCAACAGAATGAAACCCATTGAGGAGTATTGTAGGATGAAAGGAAAAAGGAACAGATATTGCTGCATTTATGTTACTGACTCCAAAAACAGTTTCTATTGCTGATTATTCTGAATTGGATCCCAAAAGATTGTCATTACCTTTCACATTCCTGGAAGACTATTATAAATTTTGTTGGCTAACAACTGAACTGGGTTAGGTTTTCTGCAGCAGGAGGAATGGGCAGCCCGTTGAAAGCTTTGAGCTCAGAGAGATTCTTGCTATCTACCCTGTGCCGTTCGTTCTTTATGAGAAAAGAAAGGTTTCAGTTCTACACAATTCACACAGCATTTTCTATATAGACCGCTCCCCACACAGATTTTTAGGTGGAGAAAGTTTGTACGGAAGTGACATTTATCAGGGATCATCAGACTTTTTGACCTGGTGGACCCTACTGGAGTTTTTAAGACATATTTTTGGCAAAATGATTGACTGGTTGTAGGAAGGCCAAGGTCAGATCTTAAAATAGTTGCATCTGGAATGAGACCAAATATAAAGCACTAATTTATCAGCATGTTACTGTCACCTTCTGCTGGTGGGCACCAAGGAAGTGTCTCCTGACATGGATTTGCAAGTAGCATTTTGGAGACTCCAGGCAGAAACTTCTAAAAGAACAAGTACAGGAGCAAGAGAAGTTGAATGAGGGAATGAACACAGTTGAGATTTGCTTGCGGCCCCTGCGTGTTGGACCTCAGATTCACAAATAGTGCAAGAAGATCAAATGGATCATATGCCCTGGGAAGAGAAATGAATATTCTGGGTCTCATGAATCCTGTTAAACCCTCATCTTTGTTGTTGGAAGAATCAATGACCAAATATCACTTTTCTTTTAAATATTAAATTTTGTAGATCAGTGTTTCTCAACCTTGGCGGCTCTTAAGATGTGTGGACTTCAACTACCAGAATTCTAGGAATTGAAGTCCGTCTTAAAGTTGTCAAGGTTGAGAAACACTGCTGTAGATAATTTCTAAGGTGTCACGTCACATGAAAATAACATCTGTTGATAGGTGCTCCATCAGAAATAACAATCCTGGAGGGTTTTGAGAGCATCTGAGAATCAGATCCACAGATTCGATCACTAATCCATAGAACAGGTCCAAATCTGTTTATTTAAAATGCCTCTATGCCATGTATTAAAACTCTTAAGTGACATAGAAGCATTGAACAACTATCATTCCTTAAAAGATCAGAGTAGCCACTAAATATGCAAAAGGTTACGAATTATCACAAGATGAATTCCAAAGTTCCTAAGAAAAAAGTTAGGTTTTAGATTCTTCCAAAACACTTTCCAATACATGTAATTTTATAGTTTCAAAATTAGTTCCTGAGGTTAGCCAGACCAAACTAAGAAATCAGAAGATGTTTTAATTGAATAAATTGCCATTCTGCATTTTAGAACACCCAAATTATTCATAGAACATAGAGTTGGAAGGGACCTTGGAGGTCTTCTAGTCCAAGACTCTGCTTGAGCAAGAGACTCTATACCATTCTGGACAAATGGTTGTCCAGTCTCTTCTTGAAAAGCTCTGGTGATGGAGCACCAACTACTTCTGGAAGCTAGCATTCTACTGGTTAATTGTTCTCACGGTTAGGAAGTTTTTCCTTAGTTCTAGGTTGCTTCTCTCCTTGATTAATTTCCATCCGTTGCTTGTCCTGCCTTCTGGTGCTTTGGAAAATAGGATGATTCCCTCTTCTCTGTGAGAGCCCCTCAATTATTCAGATAAGTGAGCCACTTATTTTCTTCCTGGTTCTTGTGAGCTGTAGTCCATCCCTGCCAGAACCTCTTCATGTAGTTAATATAGACCGTGTTGTAGGAATCCAAAGTTCTTTCAATGGCACCATCATTTAAGTCAGTGATTTACTTCTAAAAACCTCTGTTTCCTCATTGGATGTTGACCTTCTGTTAGAAGTACAGATGAAAACACAACCTGTGCTCCCATTTTGTTGGCTTTCATGCCTAGGTACTCATAGTCTCTTGTTATTGTTTTCAGGCACTTGATTGTATCATTCATCCCCATGTATACACAATGCATTTTTTCAAACTCAGGTTTTCATAACAAGTCAGATAATGTGACATAAAAAAAATTAAAGTATTCATCACAGGTAAAAGGTAAACGATTTAAAGTCCCTAGCCAATAAAATGCAATTCAGTGGTGAGAAAAGTAAGGTTTTACGCTTAGGCAAGAAAAACCAAACAGAAGCACCTGATCATTGTGGTAGGAGTCCTAGTGGACAATCACTTAAATATGAGCCGCCGGTGGGCTACAGCTGCCAAAAAGGCCAGTGCAGCCCTGGGCCACAATAGAAGGATTGTATCAAGATCACGTGAAATGATAGTACCACTTTATACTGCACTGCTTAGGCCACACTTGAAGTACAAGCACCCAGTTCTGGTCACCATGATACAAAAAAGTTGTGGAGGCTCTAAAAAGGGAGCAGAGAAAAGCAACAAAGATGGTAAGGGGTCTGGAAACTAAACCATAGGATGAACGATTGAAGGAACTAGACGTGCCTAAAAAGAGAAGGTGATACGATAACTGTCTTCTGGTACCTGAAGGGCTGTCCCAGAGAAAAGGAGTTTGACCTATTCTCCAAAGTCCCTGACAGTAGAAGAAGCAGTAATGGGTGGAAGAGGTCTAACCTAGAAATAAAAAGAAATTTCTTGACAGAGAACAATTAATCATGGAACCACTTACTTCCAGAGGTTGGGGGTCTCCATCACTGGAGGCTTTCAAGAAGAGACTGGACAGCCATTTGTCTGGAATGGTGTAGGGCAGGGGTAGGCAATCTTGGCTCTTGTATGACTCGTGGACTTCAACTCCCAGAATTCCTGAGCCAGCTGTGCTGGGGAACTATGGCTCCCTTGATGACTAGTGGACTTCAACTCCCAGAATTCCTCAGCCAGCATGGCTCAGCTTGGAAACCTCTCCCTTTCCCCTCAGCATGGCTGGCTCAGGAATTCTGGGAGTTGAAGTCCACGAGTCATACAAGAGCCAAGGTTGCCTACCCCTGGTGTAGGGTCTCCTGCTTGAGCAAGACTAGAAAACCTCCAAGGTTCCCTCTAACTCTATTCTATGTGCAAGCTGTACAAAGAGCAATACAGGCAGTCCTCAACTTACAACCACAATTGAGCCCAAGATTTCTGTTGTTAAGTGAGACATTTGTTAAGCGAATTTTGCCCCCTTTTATGACTTTTCTTGCCACGTTTGTTGAGTGAATCACAGCAGTTGTTAAGTTAGTGACAGGGCTGCTAAGTGAATCTGGCTTCTCCATTGACTTTGCTTGTCAGAAGGTTGCAAAAGGGGATCACTTGACCCCGGGACACTGTGACCCATCATAAATATTGGACTAGACGACCTCCAAGGTCTCTTCCAATGTTGTTATTATTATTATTATTATGAAATATAAGCCAATTGCGCCAGCATCTGAATTTTGATCACACGATCATGGGGATGCTGCAAAGGTCATAACTGTGAAAAATATTCATAAATCACATTTTTCAGTGCTATTGTAAGTTTGAGTAGTCGCTAAACAAACTGCTGTAAGTCAAGGACTTATCTGCATGGAAAATATATGCCATGTTCAAGAAATGGTGCCTTTTCTGTAAAAAGAAACTGGGGATTCCGTAGACTATTTAGAGATTGATTCCTTTATTGCATCTGTAAAACTATGATTCCATTTTGC